TAAAGCGTTTGCGTTTGATACATCAAATAAATCGTCTAACTTTGATACAAACTGCGTATTTTTTTCCATTTGAGTTGCACTTTTTCTATATTCTGACTTTTGCAAATTTCTCCACTCTTGGTATAATTCTTCCAACTTGGTCACACATTTTTGTTCAGTTTTAGTTGGTATACGTGCCTTTCGCCAAAAAATTATCGCTTCTTGTATCACTAAGGTAGCACTTTGATGAAGATTTAAATTAACTTCTCGCATATTAAAAAATAGTACTGACAAAACTTGCTTGTTTGATGGTAATTTACTACCAACTATTTGATTTGAACTATGTCCAATTAAAAATATATACTTTGACTCACGTAAACTATTTCTGGTAACCATTGTTAATCAGTAAAATAAAATATATTACTTACAATTTACAAATTATAACAAATTGTAAAAACTTAACACGCAACGATATTTAAGTATGACACTGGTTGTTGTTGTAAGTCAACTGAAATATAAACTAATGAATCGCAAAATAATAGTAGATAATCTATAATGATCGAATAAACTCGATAACACGTAAGTCCAAGGTGTAAAATGTACAATGATGTAGATTGTAGAATGTAGATAATACTAATTTTGTTGTACGAATCATAAATGTTACATTGTTACAATATTAGTCATAGAAATAATCTTCACGTAAAAATCGCAAAATACGGGTATAGAATAGATATTAATTAGTAAATACACTACCCACCTGACGAATAACGATTCTATACTTATCTCTTATATCATAGATAAAAACGTGTAAGATCACTTACAAACTATAATATTATACAGTATATATTAATTGTTATGTCAATTTAAATCGCATTATATGATAAAGAAAAAAATTTATTTATTGCCACGTAAAAAAAAAAAAAATGTATTTTTTAAATTTGAACTCAAATATATTTAATAATTAAATATTTAAAAGAAATGTATAAGTATAAAACTGTTGTAATAATAATAATGTACAGTTTAAGTCTCAAAAATTTTTTTGTAAAATCATTCTTTTAAGAGTTATAATTAATTATATTAAAAAAATAACGATTTTGAAGATTTTTTTGTTATTAAAACTTTAGAGCTTTTGCGGCACGGGTTAAAGTTAATCATTTTGTCCAAAAATTTTTTCTCGTGGCTTTTTTAAGTAATAGAACCGATTTTAGGGCGGTAACTTGAACATTTTGGAATTTTTTTTTACTTCATCTATACCAGAGGACCACCCTAAGTCCCACATAAGTTATTAATATAATATACTATCATAAAGTACCTATCATAGATAAATTGTATCTATATTGTAAGTAACGCACGCATTCACAGGTATGTATACACCGTATACATGTATACAGTACAATTTATGAGTGACACGATACTATCGATTTTAATGATTTTTGAAGATAATATCGATAGTAATAATATGGCTGACTTGCGTCCCCCAAAATGGGACGCAACTTACCGGTCAAATTTACTACCTGAAAAATATATTTTTTTTGGGACGCAAGTAACATGCAGCCCTAAATTTAGAAAAAAAAGTATTTGGGCGGCAATACCCTCCATGTCGGGTTTTTCCGCTCAGTAATCGGGTTTTGCCGCCCACCAATTCTAAATACACTAAGTATATTTTTTACCTTCTAAACATAGTCTTAGTTGTGTGCTTAATTCTAAAAAAGTCGATGAAACCCCAAACATTTTTAAAGCAATAGGTATAAGACAATATAATTTTTAGATCTTTCTTAGAAAATATATTTTTTTGGGACGATTTAAGTTATTAATTTTATAATTAAAAAATTACATGTCCAAATTGCTTTATTGTACCAATTAAAATTGTGCTGATAATGAACTAATATAATAACTAATAATATATTTATTTAACACCGATAAATTAAATTAGAGAAAACCATCAGATAATATAAAGGTAAAAAAAATAAAAATATATATATATATCAACGAAGTAAAACATATTTTATTAAAACAGTTGAACAATATTCAAAATTTTGTACATAAACAATAACAATATAAATTATAAAATAAAACATATTTTTACCTAACTTTGGCAATCTATTAATATGGAAGTCCCATATGTAAATATTTAGGAATAATGAATATAAAATAACCATGACTATAAATATTACATTTCAGCCTTTAAGTATTTTAATTATTGTAATAAAAAATAAAACAAATTGAGAGCATTTGAAGTAGGTAATCAAGATAACAATGACATTTTAGTATTTTACACTTATAATTAAAATGAGAGAAAACAAATCATACATTTACTAAAACATTTTTAAACAATATTCAAAATATAAGTAATATTTATGTAACAATGTAACATAAATTATAATAATAAAAAACAAGGTTTACCAAACTTCAAAAATATATTAACACACTGAGATGTTACCTTAATATCTAATACCTAAATAAATATTTTGGAGTAATGACTATAAAATAACTACTGTCGGTCTTTAAGTTATTTTAATAACAATATTTAAATATTTAGGATTATAATGACTATAATATAACTGTCAGCCTTTTTAGACTTTTAACTTTTTAAGTTATTTTAATAAAAAACAATCAAATAAAAAACATTATTTTATTCCTACTTTAGGTACAATGAATTTAAATTTAAATAAAACATTTCATTTACAGAAATCACAAATGTATGTTTTATAGTTATCATGACCTGTGCACTCTTTATGAGCCCACTTTTTGCACACACCACACCTAAACCACATTTCGGTTTTACCAAACTCGTTGCACAAGATACACAATTCATTTTCAAATTCATCAATTTCTCCTTCCGAGTTATTATCACAAAGATCTTTGATTGTTTCATCTCCACTAGTTGATGAATCTTTTGAATACAATTTTTTCTTTACCACCAATTTATTGACACTCTTCTCTTTTATGATAATTTTTGTATTGGCCTTAATTAATTTTTTTAATTTATTATTTTCTTTCCGTTGCAGTTCAGATTTTTTTGGGGTTCCAGTAAGAATTTTTGATGTGCCTTTTTTTCCAGCCCTTTTTGGTGTTTTATTTTGTTTGATATGTAAAGGCGAAATTTGTTGTATAGTAACTCTAGTGGTTGAAACTGCCTGTTCATTTACATTTTCTGGTTGATCACTGGTATTGCTTACAAAATCTAATATAGTTGGAGTAGGAGAGTCTGGTTGAGCTTCAACTTGTGTCATCTCAACATCTGGTGCAATAATTGATGCAGGTAGAAAGTCTTCATCCGTAAATATTAGCGGGTTAAAAGGAACCACTCCACTCACCTTAAAACCATTTTGAGCTTTATCTACTGTAGCTATGCGCACAAAGGCCAACTTGAATAATCCAGCAACATCATAATGTGTTATTTTCTCATGGTTATTGTTTCTTAAAAATAAATCACACTGATTAGAATATGATTTTTTTAATGATCCGAACACTGTTAAATCAAGTGGTTGTAAATTGTAGGATGTGTGAGGGGGAAATGATAACATGACAATTCCATATTCCATTTTTAAGTTGAGGAAATATTAATTAAAAAATAAAATACTTACAGCTTAAATTGTAAAGTACAAATACTACATAGAAGACGCGATAAACCAAAAAATGTAAATAAATAATTTAAAACAAGTGATAATCACTCGGTGATTGTTTGATAACATTAATATCGTAATTTAAATACAACAGTGTAGCCAACAAACCTTTAATAATTATTAACTATGAGTAATCATAGTGGGTGGCATTACCCGATGGGTGGCAAACGCCGCACTTCCCCTACTCACACTTAGCCCACGTCGAGAAAAACCCATCTATTTTTAGCTCTATTCCCGTGAGCCACCCTGTATTACTCTCGATTTTCCAAAATATCAACTCCATTTGTTGGGAATACTTCCAAGGTGGAATGTAACTTGGCCACTAGTCTTACTTCTACGTCTTCTGATAGCATTTAAAAAACAAGTACGCAGTTTAGTCCATTCTGACTTACACTTATCAGCTATTATAAAACATATCAAATTACGTATTTTATGATTCATGAATTTATTTCATATCAAGCGAATAATTTTAATCTCTATAAGCACAAAATTCGGGTTTTCTTAAACATTAGTAATTTTATTTGTTTAGAAATATCTATTATATACTGTGAACTTGATACCTACATGATTTAATAATAATTAATATTAATATTAGTTATTAAATTAGATTAATATTATTTTTTTTATATTAGGTACAACTGCATTGTAAATAATATACATAACGTATATTATTATTATAATATATACGGTGAAAACACATTTTAAGTAAATACTTTGAATGATATAAGTGTTTTTTTTTAATAAATAATTAATACATTTTAATACATTTTAAAATTATTAAGGTAATTTTGTGTATCATATTTTTTTTTTAATCACCAAATCTATTTTGATAAATTAACAATAAATAAACTGTTATTTTGATATTAAGTTTTAAATATGGTATTCTTATTTTAACTTCTAAATCAGAGGTTCCCAAACTGTGGGTCGCGATTATACTTTTGGTGGGTAGCGCTATTTTTTTAAATAATACAAAAATATAATCATCTATTACTTTTCGTTGATGTTCAAAGTTCAAATTCAGTTTTATCGTCAATCCTTATCTGTGAGTGTGACAATTACGAGTTTACCAGCGGCGGTGTCAAATACTATATATTATACTTATTATACTTTTTTTTCGTAATTACATAAAATTTAATAAAATAGTTTAATTTTCTGTCGTATGGTAAAAAAAAAAAAAAGGTCGTTGATATTGTGGGTCGCCATATTTTAAAAAAATTTCAAAATGGGTGGTACAATAAAAAGTTTGGGAACCTCTGTTCTAAATATTTAAATATTTACAGATTTTTGGCCACCGGGGAATCTTTAGTCTTTAGTTTTCGTCTGGGCTTTGGCACAACCAAAGAAATTGTTGAAGAAGTCTGTGAAGTTATCTGGAAAATATTAAGACTCATTTACATGCCGAAACCCACTAAAGAAGATTGGAAAAATATTAGCAGGGAATATAAAGAAATATGGAATTTTCCCAATTGTATTGGATGTCTCGACGGTAAACACATTAATATTCAATGTCCTATAAATGGTGGATCAGCATATTTTAATTATAAAGGGGTTAATTCGATCGTCTTGTTAGCTTTGGTAGATGCTCATTATAGGTTTATAACTGTTGATGTGGGTTCTTATGGTCGGAACTCCGATGGAAATGTATTTGCCAAATCCGCGTTAGGATAGATTAGATGTTCCACCTTATACACCAATAGAAGAAAATGGAGACCCAATGCCATACGTACTAGTTTCAGATGAGGCGTTTCCCTTGAAGTCATATCTAATGAGACCATATAGCAGGGCAACTCTAGGTGGAAATGAAGGAAACAAAATTTTTAACTACAGGCTTCCTCGGGCAAGACGCGTAGTGGAAAACGCGTTTGGAATACTTTCAAATCGTTGGAGAGTGTTCAGAACAAATATTCAAGTACAACCCAAATCCGTAGACAACATAGTACTTTCTGCATATTGTCTTCATAATATGTTATGCCAAAGCCATGATTTTCAATTGGATGAAATAAATAATTACGAAAGTACAGAAGTTCTTGGAGATATGGAACCGTTAAGAGGGAATAGCACTCAGAGATCATTTGAAATACGTGAAAAGTATAAAGATTTTTTTTATCATCTATGGGGTCAGTACCATGGCAGTACGAAATGGTTAGGAGAGGAAGAATTAATGTGATCAACGATTCAAAATAAAAAAATTTAAGTAAACCTTGTTAAATTTTTTTTAATTAAAAACTGTTCTTTATGCTTTGTATATGTTACAGTTAAAGTGTAGAATTACTAGAATTCCATTATTTTATGAAATAACTAGGTAGTTCATGAATTACCTACGAATGTTAGTTAAAGTATGAAATAATACATGAAAATTGTACTTTTATTATTATATTATTATTACTATTGTATTTATATTAGTTATTTCCTAGACTATCTAGTTATTCTATAAAATTTCAGTTTGATATCCGTTAAAGTATAAAATACATTAAAATTTGAAATATATATTAAAATATTTTATTTTACTGAATTAATCATAGTTATATTATTTATTTATTTGTTCATGTAAGGCTATTATGGCATTTAAAATTGCACAATACCTTTTTTCCTACAAACACATCGCTTTGTGCCACATTTTTTGGTACAAGTGCACTTAAAAAAACCCTGACCAGTTCCCAGTGACTGCGCAGTTGCCCTAGATCTTAATGTAATACTTTTATTTGGAACAGCTTCTACAGCTAACAAATTTTCTGAACATACTGTGAACTGGGATCGAGAGTATAGTTGTAATAACACTCCTGTAATTATAATGTGTAGGTAGGTATTAAATAAATTAAAAATTAAAAGGACGTTAATCTTATCTGATTTAATGTGTTATATTAAATTGTTGAAAATATTAGAACTATATTTATTTATCGCGATATTTTGTTATTTACAATTTGACACATTAACGAATTGATGTCAGGGAATGTATAAAATAACTAGTTAAAGTATAAATTATAAACATTACCTACAAGCTTTAGTTATTTTATAAATTACCTAGTTATTTCATAAGCTAACTGATTCAACACTTTAACAGAACCATATACAATAAATAAAAACATACCTAACAAACATTTATTTTTAATATTATGCATAAACTGTGTATATGATATAACGTGTATATGTCAATATGCAAATACCTAAGTAATCTGTATCAATACTAATTATTTTAAAGTTAATATCTTATCTAACATTTGTAAATTTGCACCTATCTCTTCCCATGCCTCTTTACGAATGTTGTTATCTTTATAATCAACAGAAAAAATGTCGTTAGAAGACTTGTGTTCCCTGACATTTTCAATTAATGACTAATCAAATGAAGACATTATAAAAAGATAGGAGAAACAAATAGCATAGACTGACGTCTGGTGTAAAATGATCGTATTTTAACCCTTAAGCAGGCGCGTGCTTCTTTTTAACGTTCATAATCGCGTGGGAGTCTATCAGACCCCATTTCTAAAAATGCGTAACATAAGTACGTACAGAAAGTTCATTTTTTTTAAATTTGAAGACATAATTGGTTACTATATGATACATAAATATATATAAAAATGTAATAATAAAAAATAAAATTAAAATAAACACAAAACTATGTTAGTTACTAAAAATTATATTACGAAAAAAAAAACAAAACTTGAAAACTTCATATTAAAATATTGGTTTGTAAAGAAATATTTAAAATTAAAAATCTTATTTTTAAGACAACAAAAAAGTTTTTACTTGAACAAAATTTGTTTTACACTTATTTTTTTATATTTCTTTGAACTCAAATGTGTCTCGCGTGGGGGTAAATATGACCCAGTCCCAAGTTGAAGCCCATCTTGAAGCTCTTTGACATGTTTAAAACTTTCTATTTTACGAAAATTGATTAAACATTATCATACAAACCATCTTCTAAAAATAGAAATATAAACATATCGTATTTTTTGTAATATATGAGTTTTATTTTTGATGAGGGTCAACTAGACCCACGCGCTTGCTTAAGGGTTAAATAATACGATACTACCACACGTCACACGTTTTTCAAAATTGTTTGAAACGCGTGGCGTGGAATTGAGTAGGAATGCGTTACGTGTTATAAATATGATCAGAAAATCGAATATTTAAAAACAAACGTAATAACACGCGATTTAAAATTATCGGCGTGGTAATGCGTGGGGTGTGAAGACATGTTAAGATGTGGAGTGTAAATAGTGTGTCCCTGCTTTTTATTGTATCAAAGTACGTGACGTATTAACGTATCAAAGGAGGTAATCAGGTGATGGGACCAAAAACGACCGAATGAAAATAAAATAAACAAACAAAATATTAAAAAAGTTAGAATTAATCACAATATAATTATATGTTCACCTTTACCCACTTTGCGTATATGATCTTAATTGTAATAAAGTGCATTCATGCGTTAAATGAAATGTAGATATTTACAGTGAAATTTCCATATTACGAAGTCACATGGGGAACAAAAAAAAAATGCGTAGTATAGAGAAATTCGTTAAATATAATTTAAGCATGATTAACAATGAAGGCCATATATTCTCAAAAATAATTTGTTAAACAGAAAATTGCATCGAATGGAAGTTCGTTGCACGGAAGTTTCAGTATGCATAGCTTATTTTTTTTAATTTCAGATTTTTTGTCAAATATAGATTTAGTATATTTTGATTTTTTATTAAACATAGATTTAATGTATTTAATTTTTTTATAAAACAGATTTTTTATTAAATATAGATTTTTTGTCAAATAAAGATTTTTTATTCAAGTAGGCTTTTTTTATAGAATAAATATTTTTTAGATTTACTTATATTTTATAAAAAATACAGATTTTTTTATATGTCCAATTTTAATAAAAAAAAGCAAAGTTGAATTTAATAAAATACTATAAATTCCCAAACTATGAATTTAATAAAAACGGTATTCATATTAATCTATTTTATAAGTCAATTTTAAAAATGATTTTATAATAATTATTTATGAATTACTTTAATTAATATTTATCAAAAATATAATTGTAGATAAGTATGTGAATGTGCCATCCCTTCCTAAATTAAAAAAGCTTCTAACAACTGGCAAGATTAAATAAAAAAAAAAACGTGTTTTCCCGGGTAAATGGAAAATTGTCGGGTTCTGCGACAGTCGTGCAAATGCGTGCTAATGGCATACTAAAGTTTAGTAAAAAAAAATTGCGAAAAAGTGATTATTTCCTTAAGAGGGGGGCTGGGGTAATACTCAACAGTGGAAAACGGATTTTCCTGGGAAAATGGACAATTTTTGGGTTCGGTGACAGTCGTGCAAATGTGTGCTAATGGCGTGCTTAAGTTTGGTAAAAAAAATTTGCGAAAAAGTGATTATTTCCTTAAGAGGGGGCTGGGGTAACGTTACGCCAGCCCCCCTCACAGTTTTTTATACATAACACGTAAAATAAAGTCGTGCAAATTCTAAAAATAGTCGTGCAAATGCATGCTAATGGCGTGCTAATTCGTGACCTAGTTTCTTTTGTAAAAAGTTCAAGTAGGGGGGCCAGGGTAATGTACGTATACTATATACAATATAAATTATAATACTTACATAATGAATACATCATATACTTTATACAAATACAACACATTCACTTAGAATATAGTATAGGTATAATTATATTGGTATAACACAGTATAATATATAGTAGATAGTAGATATATATACTAATATACTATAGTAATATTAATATATTCCATTGAGAAGTTAGTATGGTTAAATAATATAATGAATTATGTGTGACAAATACATATTACATTATAAGCATATTGGTACCAGCTTCGATTGTTTATTTTGTACAACTACTAGGTGAGCTTTTTACAGTAATAAATCATTATTTCAAATAGTAGGTAATAACGATTTGGAATTTTTTTTTATAGTTTGCAACTATCACAGTAGTTATCTATAATATCTATAATATTATATATATAATATATATATATATTTTTTTTTTATTTTTTTTTTTATTTCTATATTTTTATCTACAATAGTTTTGTAAAAATATTTGTTTTTACTATTTTTTAATCATTATTATTATTTACCGTATCAAATGATAATACAACACAATTATTTTAGAATTTGGATTTACAAAAATTTAATTTCAAAAGAATAGTTAATTATATAGGTGCCTTGTTTATTAGTGCACCTATCTATGTACTTAAATAAAATAAATGAAACAGTATGGACCAACATTTCAGGGAATATTTTGATTTTTGATGTAAGATTGTTGAGTATTCAATCCACCTTGGTATTTTGTTACTTCATGTTTAGTTGTAATTAAATGAATATAATTAAAAAAATATTTTGATATAGGTACATACGTAGGTATACATAATATCATTTTCAATGTAATTCCCCCCATTAAAAATGTCTGTGTACGTCACTGTTTCGAAGTTCTTTGCCACACCACATTGCCCACCGAGTGTTGACTGCTAAAATAATCATCCTTTATTGGTACGCTTTTATAAAATCATTAATCTAAATTGAATATTTGTAAATATTAATATTTCAAACACCGTCACGTAAGTATATAAAGTAGCGTCGGCGGTAGAGTGTAGGTACACGATAGTTATACACGATTGATTGAGAGACCTAAAAATATATATATATTAAATACGTAGGTAGTCGTCGAACACTTGAGTAAATATTAAAATATACGCTGACTTGGGTTATTAATTAATTGGGTATCGATCGAACGGTGCAGAATGTAAACATTTATATGTAACGATAACCGGATAACCGCCGTCGGCGTGTCAATATAGATAATAGTTGTATCATGTGTATAATATGTATATAGGTATATTGCATTATTATTAACTTCCATTGTTCAAAAAGGTATTGAGAGAAACGCTCAAGGAATTTTGTGTTTGTACTTTGTATAACAAGTAAGACTGGTATTCCTCGGAACACTCAAGCATTTGATGGGATACTGCCAATTGCCATATTGGTAGTACAAATACTATGAACCTAACTCCTAAGTATGTTTTATACTAGTAAAATGTTGAATATATATTTTATTTCCCAAAAGAACACACTTTTTGTATTTAATAGATTCGCAAAAAAATAGTATACTGTTACAGCTAAATCCTAAATAGAAACATTTTTTTTCTAAAACATGTAGTAAAAATTAGCTTTTTGCTATCGGTGATGACTTTATTGTTATTTAGTATTTACTATAATTATTTCAAATATTTAGATAAATTGTGTGATATTTGCTATTTATACCAAAAATCTACTTTGGTACATCGTTCTATGCGGTAAGTCGATATTATTCAAAAGTAATAACAATGGTATATAAACTATATTATAGTAAATATTCCAAAGTATATGTTAAATTATTACTAGATGAATAATCCGGCTTCACTCGTGTGTTAAATAATATTAGTTAAATAATTTTATTATATAGGCTATCAAATATCATGTTGATCTTCCCATCTATCGGTTCTATGCTCTGACCAAAAATGAGAAAATGAACAACACAATGTAGATTGTAATTTGTAGGCATATTGTGTTTATTGCACTTTTTAGTAGACAAAAAATTATATATATATCTTCTTAAAATACTTGGATACTAAGTAACCGGACTTAGCATACCACTTCGAAAAATTAATTTTCAACATATAGAGCTTGTGACTAGCTTTTTTTTGTTCGGTGAAATAAAAATAGGTAGCCCATCGATTCGTATATACATTGTTTTTTTTATTATTATTACACTATTTAAAGTCTATCTATGTAATATATATAACCATTTTTATAATTTAACTTAGACTAAGATTCTAATGACCATTTCAGACAAAATAAAATAAAAATCGGTCGAAGTGGAAAATATTTGGAACAACTCAGAAAAAAAGACTGAATTTTTAAAATCATTTTGACCCATATTATGTAAATCTTGTTTATAACAAGTGAAAAAATACTTAAAAATATTCAAAAGATAAAAAATAATAAATAATTATCACCTAAATTGGTGAACACACTATTTTTTTTTTTTTTTTTTATTTGAAGAAATCAAAATAAATGATTACAATTTAAACAAATTTAACAAATAGATTTTGATTACCTACCTCCTGTAAGCTAATAGCTTGTGATGGAGGTAGGGAGTTATTACATTACCAATAAAATAAAATAAATAATACAATAATTAGGTAATTTCTTATAATATTACGTACATTGACTTATGAATATGAACACTTTTAAAAAAAAGAAGAAAAGACAAAGTGATGTACAGTTTTAACAAAAATAAATTAGTAATACATTTAGTTGATACAGCATTATAGCAAACAAAAATATACTGTTATATATATAAATAACATACAATTTAGTAATAATTTACAATAAAGAATAAAATTAATACACACTATTATTCAATTCTAAAAATATAAATTTATATAATAATCCTTTATTATTAATTTTTTTACTTGTAATAATATTTCTTTTAAAGTCCAGAGGCATAGAGTTGTAATAAGTCGGGCCTAAATAATCTACAAATGTTTGACCAAAAGATTTATAGGTATATTTAACTGGACAATCATATTTTCTAATTTCTCTTAAATGACTATTATCACTATTTAACTGAACAACTATAAATGTAAGGAAAGGATAAGAATAAAATCGCGACTCCATAAACAAAAGGATTACAGTAAGTAGCTTACTCACTGACGAGGGAGGTACACTACTGTACACAGCAGTGATTTCCTTAGTTTTATTAGTTTGGTACCTAATAATTAATAATTGTACATTTATTTTTTGACAAATTATTCAAAATAACGAAGACTTATAATCAGTCAAATTCAATGCTTTGAACTTTTATGACTTTTCCGGTTTTGGTCCAAATTTGGTACTGGTTCTAAAAACTACAGAATAAAGGTTCTGATAAATACTAGTAAGTATGTATATATACGCTACATAGGTATATATCCATATACTTATTAAAATTATATCTTTTATATTGTATCATACTCTCTCAGACACATTATTTTTATTTTGTGGGTAAAACTTAATTTACCCAAAAGCATGAAAGATGCATATAAATATAAACTTAACATCTAAAATGACAATAATAGTTGTTTTAATGGGTTAAATGTACTTAACTTTAAGTTTACTCTTTTTTTAGAACATCTCATACACATTTCTAAAAACCCGGGTTGACACACGTTTTAAAAGTTTTGGTACTAATGCATCATTTTGTGATACAAACAAAATATCAAATACCTGCTCCATTGTCTCAATCAAAAGTGGTATTACTTTAATAGTTGGTAGCCTAGGTTTATGCAAGTGTAGCATGTTAGCTAGTTTGTAGTTTTAAATGTCACTTTCTTGCTCACTGAACACATAATTACATAAAAATGCATCAAAAAAACCACTAGCAAAATACTTAAAATATTTATTTTTAATATCTACTTTTATTCATTACTAACGCAATAAGGAACAAACTTGAAAATAGAAATGATGATAAAAATCGAACAAATTTTTTTAATTTATTTATTTTTACAACATTGATTTTATACATTGTATACACAATTCTATGAAACAGGTTTCAGCTAATGAAGACGATCATCGTCATACGGTTTACAGGGATAGATATTTTTGCTTTTGCTATTATTAGTTGCTCTTACAAGTTACTATATAGTATATAAAAACATATTTTTTATTTTATACTTTTAGGTCTTTTCAATACTTACGATGTAAGTTTCCAGATTTATAATGAACATTCATATTAAAATATGCATAGTATAATAAAACATTTTACCAAACGTCTGTTACCCGGGTAATATTTATACTGTAGGTTCCTATCCAGAAAATGACTTAAATACAAATAATGCTAAGCGTTTTTTTTAAGTCCATTAAAATAAATATAATTGAGCTGAAATTTATCTAGATAAGATAAAAGATAAACAGTGTTTATCTACAGATATTTCTCAACACTGCCTATGGGCTACGACGTATACAAGTTTGTATTTATGACGGTTTTAATAATCATTTTATTAGTTAATTATTATTATCAACGTCATAAGACGTCATCGTCAAACGCTGTCTATAAGGAAATAATCATGATTGATGGGTCAATGGACAATGACTAACGGACGGACGGACGGAAAACAACAATTATTTATATATTACAATATTTTAGATGATATCGTATTTAATTGTTTTCTGGAATTTTTATAGACTGTAGAAGTATGAAATTTTAAATCCACGTCTACCTTTACAGTTAAATTGTATGGGCCAACTATTATAAGGTACCTAATTAAATAAAATAGCAAAATAATATTAGAATCGAAAAAAAACGAAAAATCTCTACTAACTAATTAACCAGATGAATATGAATAATATGGAATATGAATATACCAGATGAAGTTTAGGTTTCTAATAAAATGGAAAAGGGGTTATTGTAAGGTTTCTGTTACAAACATCTGTTAATGCCTCAGCATATTCAGTACTAACGAAAAACGGTTAGGTTAGGTTTCTCAGCATGTAAAGACGAGTTACTTACCTACCTTATGTGAGGAGAGCCACTGTGATGTTTTATGCTTGAAAGAGATTTACTGGAATGAAAACAGCGTCCATTCCTTCTTCAATGAAAAATTTTATTAAACATTAATATATTTGTTAAGCCATGAACCTGCAGGGGAACAAGGGCCAAAGAGGGCACACATATGCTAAATTGTAAACATTTTAATACAAATTACTTAACTATGTAATTCACATAATTATAATCTTTTGTACTACCAAAAATGATCAATTTACAGGTGGGGGAATAGAGTAATGCCCTAATTTTGAATTTTTATCCAATTTAGAATTTTATTCAACTAGGATTTTTTTATTAAATATGGTTTGTTTACACAAATTATAATTTTGGTAGAGTTAATATTAGAAATGAATACAAATTATGAATACAATTTAACCATCAAAATGATTTAGTTTATGTAACTGACTGAAATATAGTTAATAAAAATAAAATATTTATAAAATAATAACAAACATAATTGACTCATAGAAATTATTAAAATTGTAGTAACAATAAATTGATTATTTTGTCTATTAATTATTATTAAAATAATTTTAAAAATGTACTCATAAAAATTAGTAGTAAAAAAATACATAAATTTACCGTTAATTCTTATAATTTTTATGTGTCGATTATATTTAATTTTTTTTTAAATTATTTTTTTAAATATTATATTTTTATTTATTATAAATATGCATTAATTTTTCAGTCAGTTGTATTAATCATTTGTATTGTTTTATGTTTTATTTCATTTATAATTTTTATGATTGATTTTTATTCATTATCAATATTAATTCGATAAGAATTGTAATTTGTATTGAAAAATCACATTTAATAAAAAAATCTAATTTTGATAGCAAATTTAATTTAAATAAAAAAGCCAACAAGACTATTATTCAATAAGGATTTTTTTAGAACCTGATTTGTTATTTAATTAAGATATAAATTAGATTTCTTATACATTTTTTTTTATCCAACAAGCTTTTTTTATTCAAATAATATTTGTTGTCCAATTTAGATTTTTTATTCAATTCATATTTGTTTATCAAATACAATTTTAATTGGATAAAAATCTTATTTGATAAACAAAATAATATGAAATAAATAAAAAACTTTGTTTGATAAAAATCTAATTAATAAAAAAAATAATCAATTTATAGTTATTAATAATTGTATGTGTCGATTATATTTATTATTATTTTTGAAATATTTTATTTTTATTAACTATATTTAATAGCCAGTTATATAAATTCAATTATTTTTCTGGTTAAATTGTATCATCATTTTTTTGTTTAATTTTTATTTATTTCTAATATTAATTTTATCAAAATTGTAATTTGTATAAAACTATATTAATAAAAAAAGGCTAGTTTAATACAAATTAAGATTACAAATTAGATTACAAACAGGTTACAAACGAATAGTAAAAAAAAATGGGGTCTGGGGAAATGTACCTATCACTTTCAGCGGGAAAGTATATATTACTTATCAGGGTACATATCAAAAAATATCATAATATATATTATATAGCAGTGCCGTATCCAGGGGGTGGGCTTTTGGGCTTAAGCCCCCCCCCCCGAAATCTCAGGAAAAATATTTTTTTAGTAATGCGTTATGCGTAATGGGTTCATATCACAGAACAATATCATATTATCGTTCATGTCATAGTAATAATGTTGACGACCTTTTAGTATATTATTTTGCGAGACTAGATGGGTAGAACGACACGAGTCAATTTTAATTTTGGTTGAAGGTTTTATTGAAATAATTAGTGCATTGGAAGAACTTATGTCAATAGAACATGATAAAGCAGTTTTTCCATTACATAAATCTATGTGTAATTTTAATTTTATTATAACTATCTGTATTTTGGAAAAGGTCCTTGGAATAACTTATTTTATTTCAAAATATCTTCAAACAGAAAATATTGATTTATCCATTGCAATAGAATCTGTAGAATTGACAATTCAAAAATTACAAGATTTACGGACGGAAGAAACTTTTTTTTCTATATTTCATCGTGCTTGTGAAATCGCAAAAGAAGTTGGTACATCACCAACCATACCAAGAGTAGTCGGGACTCAAAAACATCGAGAAAATTATGCCATACTCAATAATGACCATGTCTCTTACTACAGACAATCATTATATTATCCATATTTAGATGATATTTTAGCATCATTTAATGAACGTTTTAAAATGAACTCTAATATTTTTATTTCTTTATCTTCTTTATTACCAAGCAAAATTGGTAATTTATCATTTAGTGATATACAGCCAGCTATTGATTTTTATGAAGAAGATTTAAGATCTAATAACCAAAACATTCACATGGACTTATTAAAAAATGAATTTGAATTTTGGAAGCAAAAATGGTCTAATGAAGAAAATAATTTACCAAAAAATGCATTAGACACATTATCAAAATGCCCCGAAGATTTATTCCCACATATAAATATTTTATTAAAACTTCTTGCTATTTGGCCTGTATCAACGGCATCGGTTGAAAGAAGTTTTTCTTCTTTAAAAAGAATCAAGACCTATTTAAGAAACTCTACCGGTGAGGCAAGATTAAACGGATTAGCTCTTATGAATATCCACAGAGACATACAAATTGACACAGATGCTATTTTAAATATGTTTGCGTCTAAAAAGGAAAGGCGTTTAGATTTTAAATTGTGACAATTTAATAATGAATGCATAATACATTAAAAACTATGTGTATATATTATATGTTTTAAATTATTTCCTATTTTCCTATAAAGTTAAGTATGTTTAAGCCCCCCCCGAAAACAAATCCTGGGTACGGCACTGTTATATAGTATACGGGGATTAGGTATAATTTTAAATGTATTACATATTATTTTACATGTAGTATGCATGACGAGTGACGACAGTATTGTGTCCGGCGGCCTGCTTGTCTCTCCTTTTTTCTGTCCGGACTCGGCACAGTTGCACGGATGTCTAGTCCGAACACGCCCGAATAAATGTGAGTGTTTACACATTTCAAATGCAATTAGGGTATATTTTTTTCTACGGAGCATTGGGAAAAGATGTATAGTAGATACATATATAGTATAGTATTCTTTATTTTTCGACTCATTCTCGATAGTCACCGCCATTACGCAACAACTGTGTGTCTATTCTATGACCCATTATATCATTATTCAAGTCGTTGAAACGATAACCGACGACGTCACAACGTGAAGATGGGATCATGTGCGTAAAAACATTGTAAATAAACCCACAATATATTATAATAACGAACGTGGCACGTGCACCATTAGTGACATCTGTATTTGACATTTGTAGCCTTTAGGTACCTACTAACTAGTCATTACCTAGCGACTATACAATGCGATACGCAGTAGAAAACAATATAATAGGTACCATAGTACTACATACCTATTACCTATATTATATTACTATATATTTGCCAACTGTAGATAAAAACTTAGGTATTTATCTAGTCACCTAGGTATTACCTATTTCGTTATTATCAGAACTGTTAATTGAATGCACTAAAAAACTGAACAAGAATGACGAGAACTTGTACACTGCAAACTGGTAAGATCATAAGTACAGTCAAAACTCTTTATAACGAATCTGAAGGGACCAAGAGATTTCTTTCGTTATAGAGAGTTTTCGTAATAGAGAGGGTTTAAAAAAAACAAAATTTTAATTATTTATGTATAAAGGTATGTACCTATGTAATATTATATATCAAACACATCATTATTTTTACATTATTTTATATATATTTACGTATTATATTAAATTATTATTATTATTATACATACTTATTAAATATAATTTAATTTTTATACTATACATATTTATACCTTATTTAAAATAGTCTGTCATCTTAGTTTGGACTTTTTTATTCGGCATTATTGCCGATTATTTTTATAGTTTATATATGTAATAGATACGATAACACGTAAATTGTATTATGAAACATAAAATATTGTTTCGTTATTGAGAGTGACAATACGTTATAGAGAATGAATTGTCTAATGGGTTACCTATATAGCAAACCAACCATTATTATGTAATGTTTACGTTATATAGAGTTTTTCGTTGTAAAGAGTTTCGTTATAAAGAGTTTTGACTGTATATAGAAATACGTGGATATTGGAAAAACCATAGGCAATTGTCGTGAAAATGTGCAATACTACCTATCTACCTATATTTTTAAATAACTTTTAAAAATATTTGGCAATGAATAATTATGACATTTTTGTTGTGATAAAATAACCATTACCTATTTACTATATAATATAATATAAATTATAAAATACTTATAACTTTTACAAGAAAATAACAAATAAGTTATTTAATTTTATGTCAATCTCGGTGGTATGAATTGTTAAAATTTGAAAAATATCTATATCAGAAATTGGAGAAAATAATATGCCCAATCCCTCAAATATGCAAATATATGTTACCTATCTAAAACTGGGTGGATACTTTGTATAGGTAATTTACTATTTAGTATCTACTATATAATGAATATTAGCCATTAGTTAATAACTAGTAAATAGTAATATAAAATATATTTTGATCGAACTCAATGAATTTTACCAAGTTTAACCTTACGCAAATGCATCATACGACTACATTTTACGGCCCGAATATTATTAGGTTTAGGTAACTAGTATTATCGACATTTCGTAATTTCAATCGGCTCGGCTCGGCTGGCATATTATCCAGCGTGGGCGTGCCTCTTCTCCCATTCCCTCAGCACCGCTGACATGGCACACCATCAGTTACACCTGCTTCGCAAAGACGCAAAACAAAAAACAAACAAGTGTCACCGAGTGTCACAATGTATATTTATACTTCTAAAGATAAAATAAGTATTATTATTAACTCAGTTCATAATTATTATTTACACGGCCGCGGCATAACCATGTACTGTGTACACAGTACGAGTGCTGCATAATACTATTATCACCGCACGTCACATGACAAGACAGCGTAGTGCATACTTCAAATTATTAATAATAATAATTATTATTATTATCAACTTTACAATCATCAGCAACATCGCACGCATGTACTTAGCCTGCAGCTGTGACCAATACTAAATAGCCACAGGCCCGAGGCCGTAGTCCATGGTGTGGTAACAGTCGTAGTACGAAGGTGTGCGCTCAATGCTTATCACAAGAACAACATAATGATAAGGATTTTTTTACGTCGTTCCCTCCAGCTTATTTTTTTTTCCGAGTCAAAACTTACGATCGCGACAACAACAACAGTAAAAAAACAACAGCTGCAATAATTACAGTATAATATCGCTATACTCAACGATCGAATGTCTGTGTCTATTTTTATTTTCGATCATCAATGTCGGTTTATTCCGTCGTCGTTTCAGCAACGATTGAATTGATTGCGATGTGCATTTGGTCGTCTACCATACGATCGCCGCCGCCGCCACTGCCGCTGCTGTCGTCGTCGCTGCTGCCGCCGCCGCCGCAGCCGCTGTCGTCGTCGTCACTATAATAATACGCCGCACCAAAACTTCCACGACTTGTGCCCGTGTCCGTTGTTCAACGTCGGACATGGACACCTGACGACCGTCCCTGGACTTCCGATCGACAACACCGCGGTGGTGTTAGCGCGGCATTCCGCCTGTTAATATTCGAATGGTGGACGCGTAGAAAATCCGACAAACTGGACAAGTTACCTGAGTATCTCCGCGACACCGTGGACTGGTTTATGGGGTAAGTCAGTCAGTCAGTCGTTCATAAAATGTATACCTCTGTGGCTACTTGTGCGGGCTCAAACCCATTAGGTGGTACCGTAGCGTGCAAATTCGTTGTGGCACTTCTGTTATTATAAATCTGTTGCATTATCGTTTGGTTTGTGTGTACCTAGTCTAGTGCTGAACATTGAATCCAGATTAATCCATATTTAGATTACCTATCTAGATTAAAACAAACATTAGAATCTGTTTAATACCTAAAACGATTAGTAGATATTTTATTATTTATTTTATTTTAATAATATACTGAAAAGTAGTATTTTCCTATTATTTTCTTATATTATGTTTACAACATATATGTATATATACATAAATGTATTTAAATAATATATATTATATATTAATATAATATTTATAATGTGCATACTTGCATTTATTATGTACATTTCTTCAATTAAACATTTTCAATTTTACATATTCAGTAATAAGTTTCTAGAAAACTTTTTTCTTAAAACGACTGGATGTAGAAACCTTCTATTTTACCTCTTGTCAATTTAGGATGATATTCTAAGTCAAGAGAGAAAAAACTGGATCCGAAATTTGGATTATGTAATTGTAATCCGAATAACAGATTGGTCAAAATATTGCTCAATATTACTACTTGCCTACTATGATGATTATGTATCTAGTGAATGGTATAGATTATAGGCGTTGGTGTTATATTTAATAAAATATTTGGATTTAGCATTTAGCAGATCTAAGCAGATTTAGCTTTTCATTAGTTTGTATGAAAATAACACAATAAAATGTAAAACTAAATAATCATTATTTAATATGACCGTTGATACTGTAATGGGTTGAAAAGTAAGTATGAATAATTAGATGTTTATGTTTAGCTAAAAATGTAAATATTAATGATAGTAAGGTACACCTGATTATATTGTTAAGTTTAAAATATTTTTTATTTTGCTACTACTGAATATTAAACTATTATTAAATTTGTTTATTTTATAAAGTTAAACATTTTTCTTATATCACTATATTAGATCTGATAATCTACTAAAATACCATACCATAAAAACATGATATCTAATGATTTAATAAATTATTCTGATCTATATAAAATATTTAAATTGTATAACAAAATTGATGTTATCTAAAATATTATATATTTGTTTTTGTTGCAATGCAAGTGTTCACTAGATTTTGTATTATCAATCGCTTGACTACAGTTTCCTGTTAATTTAAACTTCTATAATATATTCATTGTTGAGTTTGTTAGATATAATTCAAGGCAATATTGCATGACTGATTCTTAGATAAGCTGACCTCATGCCTAGTCATACCTACCTAGTATGTTGTATTTTAGAACTATTTATGTAACATGGAATATTAATTATACTACTTAGGAAGTTATTAAACTTAGTTCAAAGTAAGAATATTTTCTATATTAGTACCTACATTGGTTTTTACCATAGACTTCAAACTACTAGACAAGCAATGAGTGTACTATGGAAAGAGTAACAACATAGAGGCTCTTTTTGATTACTCGATTACTCATACAACTCGTACATACTATACTACGGGGTAGTAAGGTAAAATGTAAAGATTTTGTATTTTGTCATCAAGGCAGGCTACATCCCTCCGAAATGTTGCTACTTGCAAAACTCGTAATGCTACTGTTCTTGCTAGTACAGTGAGACCTGTATATAACGGACAGTCACTGGACCAAAATAATTGTCCGTTATAGACAGGTGTCCGTTGTAGACAGGTTTCAATGTTTTAAAAATTAAAATTTTTTAGTACATTTATATTGTTTTATATTTTATAATATGTACACATTAGGTATAATATTTATTAATATTATACATGTATGTATTATACACATACATTCTACATTATGAATTTAATTTTAATTATTTATTACAATTACAATTATTAATTTTATATTACATACATACAATGGCACATTATAAATGTATTATATTTAAATACTATTATATTTGTATAAATTTAATTAATTATTTTTTAAAAAGTGATTCTATTGATGTTTGTTTTTTGAACTTCGATTTAGGCATTTCCAACTCGTGATGGATCATTAATTTGCTCACATATGAAAATCCTTTTGTTTTAAATTTAAAGCTTTACGCAGCAGGGGAGGTGGCATTGCTAAGGAAAATATTTACAACTCTGACTGTGAACCGATAGAAACTGAATAAAAACGTAATCCGTGTTTTCCTCTTTACAATTAGAATAAAATAATATATGAACCTTTGGCATCTATGACCAAATAGTGTATTACTGTCCATTTTATCAGTCATTTTTAAAATGTTCTTATTCAATGGTTTTTTTACTTCATAGTATATTTTGTGTAAATTCTTTTTAGAAGTTTAATTTTAAGTTTGTACCTAATGATACTTTTTTTAGAGGCAATTTTTAATTTTCTAAACACTCTAAGCTCAAGAAAAATCAATTGGCTAAAAGTTATGTCAATGAAAGCTGTTACAACATCCATAAAGAATAGATTATTTTTTTGATGGTCAAGAGCATACATGTTTAAAATACTCAAATTTAAGATGAACTCTTGTATGACTATATTGGAACATGAGTTAAAGTACTATTAAATAAATATTTAATAGGAAATTACCTGTTACTTTGATCACTTTTAGAAAAAAACTAAGTGTGTATTAATACTTGAATTAAATTAAATCATTAACATCTAAAAAGTACATACAGGCAGAGACAGTCTATGCTGGCAGGAAATCTGGACTTTCCCTGGTATACCTTAGCTAGCAGTGAGCTATTCATTCAAATAATAACTATATTTATTCCTGTTAATAGCTAAAAAATATATTGAATAATATCGATGTTTCAATATGTCACTGTTAAAAATTAAAAACAGTTTAACTGTTTCTAAATAAATAGTTGATCAATTATTTAAAAAGAAGATTCATGGTCATTGTTGACAGTTTTTACTTTTGTCATATTTTGATGATGGATCACACCATAATTATTGATAATTTATGTAATTGAAATAAACTTTATAGCCCCACGGTTATTTGCACCAAATTTCAATATTAAATCCATTTGCTTTAAACTGACAACTCAACTGGCAGTATTTCATATAAATTCTGAGGATTTAGTGTTATTCATAATAATAGTAGATGCATTGTAATAATTAGTTGTGGCCTGTAATTATATAATATTTTTATTTTTAATATTGAGACATTGTACAATCTGTAAATTAATCGTTTACAATAAGAACAAGTGATTTAAGAATTTTAGAAAAGAACTATATAATTAAATTTAAAAAAAAAAATATTTATATAAAATATAGTAATAGTAACACCTATTATCCTTATTAAAAATTTAAAAATATAATCTAAAATACCCTCTCATGTACTCATGTACCCTCATTTAATTCTGTTAATTTTGATATTAGAGTAAATTAACCTATTAGAAAAATGTAAATGTATGACTTTTATCTAGGGCCCCTGGGTCTACTTGTTTTATTTTAATTTTAAAGTGAATTACCTACATTTTAAAATTATAAATCTATATCTATACTACTATATAAAATGAAGTCGGTTTTTTGTTCGGGATAAACTCCAAAACTACTTATTCAATCGTCGTGCAGTTTTTTTTTTAAATTAAACAGGACATCACAGAGAAGGTTTTAGGAATAAATTTAGTCTGATAAAGTTAATAAATAATTATTATATATTAATTATAATAAACCGATAAATTGTATACCTATACCTTTTTTAGTAAGAAATAGTCACTGGCTGAAAATAAATAACAATCAAACTCGACAACCACAGGTTAGTATCGACGTGGAATAATAAACAATTATTATAATTATTTAGTTTAATAAAAAAAAAACAATGAATTTTATCTAAGTATCTATTATTAGTATTTATTATCAATTATGTTACATTAGTTATCGGTAAAAAATAACTAATACAATTTTTACAAATTGCTTGCTAAGATGGTTGAGTTGCACTTATAACTGCTCATCAGCGTATCCACAGTCAAAGTAAAAAAAAAAATAAAAATAAAAAATATTATTCATATAGATTATTTGCCTAGCTTGAGGTATGATAATAATATTAAAATAAGCCTCATTATATATTAGGCATTTTCAACGGGCAACAAATTGCACGGGATAAGCTAGTATTTTATTTTATTTAAAATGCCCATAACTTGCTATAACATTAAAATAGTAAAAATCCCTGTGTGGCCCTAGAAAATTGTCTTATCTTTAAAATTTGATAATAGTTAAATTGTTTATTTTTATTATTGTTCACAGACAATTACTGCTGTAGTAGTAGTTTCAATTTTTATGTAATAGGTCACTACTGCTATGGTAGTAACTTAGAAAACCAATGAAATCATGCATTACTGCTCATGAAGTAATATTTTCATTGGTATTAAATGAAACTAGAAATGTGGCTGACTTGTTATGTTCACTCATATGTTTGAGCACAAATAAATATACAATTCTATTTTTATACTTATCTTTTTTGGTATTTTCATTAATTTGAGTGATTTTTTAAGGTTGGTACATGAATAATATAAAAAGTGAAGTTTCAGTGAGAATTACCAAATTTTCACAAAGCATAGGACAGAACTTAAACTGTGTCATAGAGTTTAAAATTTTTTTGATAGCACTAACCAATAATGTTTCACAATCAAACATGAAAAAAAAACTAATGTCCTCAAATTAATAACTTTTATTGTATTTATGTTATCCAGATAATAAAAATGCTATGATACAGATAACGTTTTTCCCTTTGTATTGTGGAATTTTGGGTGATTCTACTGTAAATACAGAAGAAGTATGTCCCAGTAATAGTTTTTATTGTGTTGTACATTTGTAAGACAGACAACACACATAGGTGTTCCTTCCTCTTAATATTATAAGAATAAATTATTCTGAAAGTAAAATTACAAGGCCTTCATAAGTAAGTAAGTAGTAAAGTATTGATTTATTTTTTTATTAAGATTTGAGTTTTGTGTAAATGTTTTTATTTAAAAAATTAAAATTTACTTAAAAAACCTAACCTAACCTAATACTTAAAAAGGTGAACATTATTTGTATGTACATTGCTATAAAAACAACTATCAGTATTTTTTAATAACTGTCAATACAATTAGGCTGTTTTATAATGATTATGAATGGGTAATTATAGATTATATACTTTGACATTTCATTATTTAGAAAATGATTAAGATAGTTTAATTTCTGTTACTAGTAAATATTTAAATGAAAGAATGAATAGTAATATATGTTACGGGGAATGTGTACAAAGTTCTTGTTCTCAAAATGTAAACTGTAAATAAAAAGTTATTTTTTGTGCAATATTTTTTTTTTTAATGTATTATTACTAGGTTATAATTATAATATAATTTTGATAACAAAAAAAAAAAATGAATTAATATATTATTAATTATGATTTTATTTATAACCTAATTGTTATAATTTTAATATTTTAAAACTTAGAATTAAGTTTATTATATTAAAGATTTTAAAACAATAATAATAATCATTATATACCTAATATTGATGGCACAATGCCATGCAAAAGAAATAAATAATTACCTATTTATACTGTATTATTACTTAGTATTTGTACTTGATTTACTAGAATGACTCTTAGAATTGCAGCCTGTCCTTTTTGAAACACACTGTATAAACTTTATATTATTTTTATTATCCTACAATTTAAGAATTATTATATATCCATATGGCCATATCGGGTTGATAAAAAAGTAGAAAAGCAGACAGACTTTGGAATTCTAAATGCCATTCTAGTGGATCGTGAAAAAATAAATAAGTATTAATAATCTTAATATAAAATATAATATTAACTTATTTATTTATTTTGTTTGGCATTGTGCTAACAATACTAGGTAAATAATTATTATCATTACTATATTGTGTTTAAATATCCATAATACCTATAATAAAATGAATTATCATTGGTTTAAAATATTCAGAATATAATAAATAGATAAAAACTGTATTCTATTTGATTAATTATTAATTATTTTTTTGGTTCTTTCCATTAATATTATATAATTATAAGATACAAATAATAAATCTTATAAAAAATATTGCACAAAACATGATTTGTCTGTAATCGAGATTCATATTGCCAAACTTGGAATAATAAATACACTGTAACATATACATGTATAATACAATTGTTTTAATACTTGATGTTAAATATTTTACTGTAGTGGACCTATTTAGAAGTCAATAGTAATGAAGGTACTTATAGTGTTGTTAACTATAGTATAAATACTGGTTTATACAACTAAAATAACTTGGTTAATTAATTTATGAGCTATTATAATTTGTAGTGTTAAGAATATAAAACTAACTCAATATATTTATTTTGAGTATGATAATGATATTATTATTATATTATTTTCATGATATTTATTTTGATAATGCTATAGATAACTGTCTATAATACAAGGTTATTTAAAATAATTCATCCTATTTCAATTGCTTGTTTATTTTTTTGAGTTTTTAGGTTTACAGTATTATATGATACATTAAATAAAATAATAATATGTTTAATTTATTTGATGGTACCTATGTACCTATGTTCTATGTGGCTTCCATTGGTCATACAAACAACATCTAGTTGGAACTCAAATTCATTCCATGCATATCGGTGTGATTGACTATTCATTTTTTAGTTCCTCTAATTGTCTAGATGTTGTTGGTGTGAATAATTTTACCTATTAAAGTTTAAAAAATCATCAATTTTATAGTTTAATTAGTGGTTTTTTGGTTTGGAGCTAGTAATTTGCCTAAAATATACATAGGTGTGTGCAGACCTGAATTTCGGGGTGCCTACTATATTTTTGAGCCCTTTTCTTAATTTAGGCCTTCTCTTAAGAAGGCATGTAGGTAATACATATTTTAATAAATAATAATATGCAAATAAACATTACTTACATTTTTTCTTTTAACATTCTAATACAACAGTTATAAATTTGTAATAACATGTGTCTATTACTTAAATTATTTAACTCATTAATAGTTAAAGCTATTTCAACATTGGAGGCTATTTCTTGTTCCGCGAAAAGTAAAATTAATGATTCCAAACGGTCTTGAGACATGGTACTTCATAATTTACTTTTTACAAAATTTAATTTTGAAAATACCTATTTACATGAACAACTAGTAACGCTTACAATGCTACATTAGTAGTATTTTTAAAAAAACAACTAAAAGTATTATATCTATTGGAGTCTTTTAATCAATCCAGCCAAAAAAACACAGACCTCTCAGTAGTTCCTTTAGGAATATTGTTGTCTACTGAGTTCTTGAGAAGTTTGATTTCAGCAATCAAAGTGTCTGATGAAATTTTCTCAAACTTTTCCAAAATGGCAGTTATTTCAGTAGTTATATTTAAATTTAGAATTTTTTCAACAGCATTTATAAGGCCAATTGTATCTTGCTTAGGATTCAATGTCAGAGAGGGGGGTGCCTGAAAGTACTACAGGAGTTACATCAATATAAAATAATGTATAATTTACTGCCATATAATATTAAACAATACAATAATGTATACTTACTACTAAATATTATATTATCTATGTTTATTTGTGAATCTATAAATCATAAGAATAGTGGACTAGATAAAACATAGATGAATAAAAAATCTATAAAATATAAAAAACATACAAAGTATTGTTGGTAGTTGGTACTGTTAGATACAATTATGTATTTACCTTTTTATAAATGTTTTATTATATTTATATTTAATAGCTTCTATCCCTTTATATCAGCCTTGTCTAGATTGTTTCAATAACTAAATTGGTATAATATTCATTAAATTTAGTTTTTAAAAATATCTGATATATACAGTGTGTAATCGGTTGTTGGAAACACTCTATAACTTTACAAATATTAAATATTTTTGAATTCTGTTTGTTTGTGGTGCTTAATAAAGTTTGTTATAACTTATTAAAGTAATTAAACAATTTTTATGTTACTTCATTTCGCGCATGCGCATAACAACTTTTTTTTTTAATTGGCAACCCCACTATTTTTTGACTAACTATTTTTACTCTTATTTTTTTTATGAATTTTAATGGTTAAACCAACTTCCTATGCTAAAAAATAGCCAAGTTATGGATATTTCATTGATTGATATTATTTTTTTGACATTTTTGAATTATTCATCAATTTTATGGTAAATAAAATAAAATAAAATTTAGCACATCATGATATCTTCTAGTGATATTTTTAGTACCTACTTTTGGGAGGATCCTCTTCCCCTATAGCAACTAATTTTTTTAAGTTCATCTTCTTAGGCGATTTTAAAAAAAAAAAAACAATGTTAATAAATTTTATTTTTTTTAGTTCAAAATTACATTTATTCATCATCTTATAAATTGTTCAAACTGCTCTCCATTATAATTTAAACATGCTTCTGTCCTCCGTAGAAATTCTTTATTTGTTGCAGATGAAATTTGCCTTTCAGTAAGTTGGTTACATACCACAATTATTTTTTGTTTCAAATCAATAAGATTAGTAGGTGGGTTCGCATAGACGACAGTTTTTAGATGTCCCAACAAAAAGTAATCAAGTGGTGTAAGATCTGGGGATCGAGGTGGCCATTTTATTATACCATTAGTTCCTATCCAACGATTTTCAAAATGTTCATTTAAATAATTCTTCACGACGATTACATTATGTGCTGGGGCTCCATCTTGTTGCAAAATCAAATTGTTTCTTGTTGCAAGAGGAATGTCGTCTAGTATGATCGGTAGCTCATTAATTAGAAATTCTAAATACCGTCTTCCATTTAATGTTCCGTCGTAGAAATAAGGTCCCAACAATTACCTAGACAAATAGTTGACAATTTTGGTGCTTATACAAATTTACTTATTGATAATAAAATTTAAGTTAATTGTCCAGGCTTTTTATTAAGTATCTATTATGACTTATGAACCAAGAAACTTGTTATGCCGGATTTAAAGTTTACACCCATTAACACATTTTTATTTATTTCAATAAGTAAAAAAATAAATAGTTTATTATAATTTTGACAATGTGTCTAGAGGTTCTAAAACTGTGTGTTGCATTAAAATTTTAAATATTTCTATATATTTTATATAATATCAAATATTTAATAGGAAAAGTCCTGAGAAAAACCAAGTTACTTTTTTCCAAAATAGCCATTTTGATATCAAATTATTTGTATTGAAGCATTGTATCTCAGAGGTCAAACAAGTCATAAAAAAAGAAATGATATATTTTATGCATAAATATGAAAATAAAAAATGTATATTTTATTCAAATAATATTTAATATAATACAGTATTTTCTGTGTAACTATATTGTACATAGTTGTTTGAATTTAATTTTATCGTTGATAAACATTTATTATACATTTACAAGTATACCTGAGACGTGTCACCATGACGCTTATAGACTAAAAGTTCTTCAATGAAACAAAAAAAAGTTATAAGTATGTTACATTTTCCAAAATAAGTCTTATAATGAAAAGTCTAGGAATATTTGGTCTAGTTAATGTTGACTAAATACAAAATTTAGGTACACATTAAAATAGTGCCAGATAGACAAAAATAACAATAGATTCTAACAAATATTTAAAAATTTGTGTACTGTTAATTTTCATTATAAATTAGTGTAAATAGATAGATTTAATTTCTATTAAAATATATATTTATTTGTTTATAGGAAAGGTCGAAAAGCCAAAGACAAGGAATCATTATGTAATGATGATAACAAATTGTATTTGGAAGAAGCTGTATTAGAAAAAAAGTTACCTGATATTGATCTTAGGATTTTAGTTGAAATGCCAAATGGAATAGATTTTAATGAGTGGCTCGCTTCTCATAGTAAGTAGTTATATTTTTTTGCCAACTCATGTTTCTTATTTGTATTACTATTTTTATTCATCCTAGCAATTTCAATTTTTGACAACACCAACTTGATTTATGGAACTGTGTCAGAATTCTGTACTATTTCGGGATGTCCTGATATGGTTGGACCAAGTTATAGGTATTTCATGAACTATAAATTAAAAAATAATTTGTAATTCTATTACTGATATTAATAATCTTTTTTGATATAATAATTAAGTAGATTATTTAAACAAAAATACTATTGATTATAACAAAAAAAATTACATGTAATGCTTTTCAGCTAAAATTATACTTTATTATAAGTTATTACTGTTTAATTTATTGCATTTTAAAATTTTGTTTTATTAGAACCTATTTGTGGTTTGATGAAAAAGGTAAAAAATCTCGAGTTGCTGCTCCATTATACATTGACTATGTTATGACGTTTGTTCAAAAAACTATTAATGATGAGACCATATTTCCAACTAAATATGGTACATAATATACTTTTAACAATTATTTAATAATATATTATTTAGATTTATAATGCATAATTATGTTTATTGTTTCAGCTAATGAATTTCCAGTCGGCTTGGAGATAGTGGTAAAAAAAATTTTAAGATTGTTATTTCACGTAATAGCACATCTTTATCATAGTCACTTTCGCGAGTTAGTACTTCTAAATTTGCATACACATTTAAATTGTGTGTTTGCTCATCTGTCAGTATTTAACCACCGTTATCAATTAATTGAGCTACGTGAAACTGAAATCCTACAAGATCTAGTTGTAGCTCTAAAAATTTTAGGCGATGATGAAGAAGTAGCTACTGAAGTCAACGAATCTATTGATGAATATAAGGATGTTATCAACAAAGAACCAACTATGTCTTTTGCAGATCAGCCCATTAACATGTTCCCTAATCCTTCTCCTATTAATACACAGACTTTAGCTACTCAAATTGATAATTTCTAGTCTAGTAAATAAAATATTATAATGCATTAAGTATATTTATATAGGTACTACAAGTTTATTGCATATGTTACATATGTATAATTATTCTGTACATAGAATTTCTTGTTAAATAATTTAGAAAATACCAGTTGGCAGACAATAAACTAATATCAAAGCTTTTAAATCAACTTTATTATACTAAAATACCAATCTACTAAAATATATTTATCTTTAAAATGAATAATACATTTTTAATAACTAAAAATGTTAAATACTAATTTCTCACAATAATTCATAAATTTTGTTTGGTCGGATTCAAATAGATTTAATCATTGAATCCATTGGTACATATATTTAAATTTTATCTTTCATGTTTAAAATAATTAAAAGTTATACTATATAAGAATTTTATTTTATAAATATTGTTTGCCACTATTCCTAAAATTGTTTTTAAGTATTTAGGAAATATTATCCAAATTACTAATTCACAGGTTTGCATTGTTAACTAACTAAAATATTACTCGAACATCTCAATTAAAGTTATTTGAAATCCTTTCTATTTTGAACTGTATAAATTATTATTCTTGTGCACTGTTATTTAAATTTATATAAAAATGTTTAAACAACTTATTTCAGCTCAAATATTTATATTTTCAGATCTATACAATTGTAATATGATTTTTGAATATATGTTATACGTATTATTATATTTTTAATTATGTACAGTCCACTCTGGACAGTTTGTGAACATTTATAATTTTTATCTTGTCTATCTTTTGTGATGTATTTAAATAATGTGATAGTGAAAATATGCCCTTTTAAAAACATTATTCATTTTTGGGAATTGTACTTATCTGTAATTATTGTTTTAATTACCTATTTCAAAACCATAAATTATAAAATTGTCAAACCACATGTGCGTATTATGACAATAACACATGTGATGCTAATTAAATACTCAAAGCATAGAAATATAATTTTTTTAACTTCATGTTTTTGGTTGCTTTTAGAAATAAAAAAATTCAAAATTATTTAATAGGCTTGGTCAGATAAAAAATTTCCAAAATATGTTTTTGATATTGTTGTTTATGATGGCAAATTATGCAACCGTCCAATTTTTTCCTTTTAATATTTTTTTTTTTTAGTAAACTTTATGGGACTATGTTATATTATTATTAATTTTGTTGTTTTTCTTTTTATTATAAAACCATAAAGTAAACTTTGTTATTGATGTTATTTCACGTGAAACCCCCATTATACTACCTTTTTACCACACTGAGAAACTTAATATGTTATCAGGTTGTTTTATTGTATTTTTAACCAAAAACAAATTGCACTTTTGTTGATACAACATTTAAGTTACCTACCTAATTTATTTAATTGTCATTAACCTTATTTCTTAGAATCCTAAAGAAAATTGGTATGTCAAATGTTATACTATGTTAATAAGACGATTGTGAGTTTTTTTTTTAGATTACCTTTTTATTGCTATTTATTATTAGTTGTTATAATTTTATTTAGTAATTTATTCTATATACAAAAATAATATTTTGTGAGTAGTTTATATATGTATCACTTACTGTTTTGGGTGAAAAGTTTATGTTATGTGTTATAAAGATAAAATATATTTTTGTATAAAAATATTAAAAAAACAAAAAAAAAAATAATATACAAATAGGTATACATAAATATTCATACTATATTATTTTAATTATTATAAGGCTGAGTGAATGAATTAAGTGTTTATGAAATGTTGGTTTAATTAAATATAATATTATGTTCGAGAGCACTATTATATTGTATGTTATTGAATGCTTTATTAGATTATCTTAATATCTGTGTATGTTGATCTATTGACGCAGACCTCATACTCATAGACCAGCCCTATGAATTCAAATTGAATCCATGATAGAGGGCACTGATGGTATTCTAAACTATTAAACTATAGTAAAAATTTGAAAATATATATTTAACTACAGCATCAGCCATTTAATCGGGCCCTCTATCTTGGCTCAAGACGCCTAATGTTAGTAATATCGGCAGAGCTGGTCTATGAGTATAATGTCTATGACTATTGGATCCCTTTTTTGTTTTTGCTTACTTTAGTAGGACAAATCTAAATTATAAGACATTTGGTACATAACTACCCATTAGTTACTAATAATTTGTTTACCTAATTAAAATATATTTTACTGAAGGTTTCTAATAGATGTATTTAAAGCAAACTTGAGTTGGTATAACTAGTGAGTTCCTTTTTTAAGTATCTTGATAGATCTTATATATTAATGTTCAAGGTGGAAAAAAAATTATGTATTTATTTTAGAATTAAGCGAAATTAAAACAGTGTTGTAATATTAAGGATAGTAATTTGTTAACTATGTTATACTTGTTGTTTAAATTTAAAATATATATGTAACAAATATGATTTAAAATACCTGTATTCTCTTGTCGACTGTTCTGTGTAATATGATAAATGTTTATTGAAGAATATAATTTTTCTTATTGTTTCATTGAAACTGTGTGATGATATGATCCCTTAAAAACTGTAACTGATCAACACTATTTTTGTTAATTTCTAACATTTACTTAATTTTATTTAATGGTCTACATTCTTAGTTTCAATCAAGTCTCTAAATAGTTATCTTTTTTAAGAATTCTTTAATAGATTATATTTATATCAAACTAAATTTCTAATTATTAATTGTTCAAATGTATATCATAATTCATAAGAAAAGAAATCAATATTTCTGTTGTTACTATTGTTGGTAGGTACAAAATAAATTACATTTCCAATTTTTTTTACCAAATATTTAAGGAGGAAGAGTTAAGCCAACAATTTGAATCTAAAAATGGTCCCGACCGCAGTCTAATTACAGAGTAAGTTATGGATCAATGGTTTTGAAAATGGTGCTGTCATTTAAAGAAATATCACGCTTCTTGTACATTGGTTCTTACCAAAAGTGTTTTATAAATATGTAGGTAATTATTTTCTTTTAGTTATAAAAATTCAAAATGGTAAATTAGGAAAAACCATTATTTGTGTAGCTAAAAAAATAATAACATATTTAAAAAAACAGTTATGGTATGATTGAATGTACAAAAAGTGTAAAAGAGACATTTCTTTAAAATCACATCATTTTCAAAAATTGACCCATAACCTACACCGTAATTAAACTGCAGTCAGGATCATTTTTTTTATTAAAATTGTCAACCTGACCTTATCCCTTAAGCAAAATAGGTCAGCATTGAAACTTATATATGTGTAGTGAATAATGATTTTATTACAGTGGTTCATATTAAGTGGCCTGTCGAGTAAGTACCCGAGGACCAATAATCAAATCCCGCCTTTAGTACCTGTCTTCAGCATAGACTATCAAATTATTATAGGCATTAAGAAAATTAATTCAATTTTGAATAAATATTTTGTTTCTACTTAGGTCTGTATCAAGAGATACTGGACAATATAAGGCACAGTGCATTTATGGCCTACAACTAACGTATGCAGGTGTCTGGATCAAGAAAAGAAAAGTATACTAAAATTGGAAATTATGATAACTGTTTTTATGGCCTATATTCGATAACATTTCACGTTTTATTAATCTGAACTCTTAAGTAAACACCGATGTTTTTAAATTTAATGTAATATTATGTAGTTACTACCTACTACCTATTTATAATGTATTACTACAATAATTATGTACCTACCTACGCAATTCAGTTATCTCGCAGGTTAAAATGAACACTACTCAATCTAAAAGACGTGCGGTTAAGTTGTTAGCGTTAAAACATAATTTGTTATCGATTGGGCCAATAACTATTAAAGTACTCCCGTATGGGTTTAGAACATTTATTTTCAAAAAATCGTTTGACAAACAATGAAATACGTTATTACTTATTGCTTAACTACGTATTTAGTATCCAAATGTGGAAAAATAGCACGTACAAAAAATACGAAATACTTAGGTATCTATCTAATTGGCTAGGAATAACAAATAATACTTTTAAATAATATCTGTTAATAATGTAATATAGATAGGTAAACGTTTAAAATACTTAAATTGTTTATACCCACCTACCCGAATTCGCTCAGATATTAAATTATCTATTTATAAATAATCTACACTGCTTTATATAAATACCTGAGTACCTACGTATTGTTCTGTTGTTGGTAATTGTATTATTGAGTGTTCAACACATTAAACTTATTAAAAAATGTACAGGATGATCCAATAAGTATGCTCACCCCTTTCTTTTCTTTAATAATGAAGTTTTTCAAAATCTGATTTCTGGAATCTTTAATTATACTCAAAGACCATATTTTCATATTCTTGAGATTTTTTGTAGGTACCATTTAAAGAGTGTCCTGTGGCGTAACAAACTTTTGTTTTTCAGATGGGAATTTTTTTACTGTAAATTATTTAGCGGATAATTTTTTTGAGAAAAAATACAATTAAAATGATTAAAATGTTAACTTGAAAAATATAAATTATGTACTAAACAAAATATTGTATGGTTAAAGAAGGATATAGTATAGTCCTTGGAGTAAAGGGTAAATGATATTTGTTTGTTGGGCGGAGAATACATTTTGAATAGCCTCAGTACCTATTGAAAACGAATTTAAGGAAAAAAGTCTCTTATTAACTAACACTAAACATTCAATGATTATCCTCTAATTATTCATTTTATCACAATGTATTGCCTTAGGTACTTATAATGAGTTTAATGTAATTATATTTTTGTACTTAAATACGAGTACCACATTTATTTTAATATTAGTAAACATGAAATATCACAAATATATTTTTTTAATTTCATGTAATAATAATAGGTAAGTACACTAAACATTGTTTTTTATTAGATAATTATATTTACGTAATTGCAATATAATATTCAAGATAAAGTAAAATGTAAGTCACACGTGGGGATACGGGATGGGAGTTTTGAAACAACTGTGTATTGGTGTCTATAGGTGATTTCGCCATTTCGGGTCTTTTTCCGGGACTTTTTTTTTAATACCTACCATTAAAACCCGGATTGGACTAACTCTAAAATATATACCGGCCTCATTATATTGTACCGGTAATAGCGCGGCAACCAAGATTTTGTCAGGGGGGGGCTCCAAAAATAATTATTATTTTAACATAGCAGTTTATTAAATATTAAATTTATTATATTTCAAAATTCATATAAAATGTAATGTAAATATTTATGGTACCTACCTACATAAACATAACAACATTTCACCTACATGGCTACATGTGAACTCTAAATGCTTATTAACAAAAATTGTGCATATGTATCTTTAATAATTATAAACTGCTATAGCATCAATTTTTGGGGTAGTAAACAAGTTCCAATTTTCGAATTCAGCAATTTTTCTGATAGGAAAGTAAATCTAGCTGGTTCATTCAAGGGGTTAAGATTGAAAATTCCCAGTAGTTTTCAAAAGTGAGAAAAACAAAAAAAAAAGGAGAAAAAATTGGTATATTTACTCAAAACCAATTTTGAAAAAAAACAAAAGCTAAGAATCTTAGATACTTTAAAATTTCACCAAGTACTATCATGATCATTTTCTATACATATCATTATAACATGT